TCCCAGCCAGGGACCCCGGGGGGGGGGGGGGGGGAGAGGGAGGGGAGGGGATCTGGGCCTTTCCACAGTCGTCCAGGCCTGGCTGTTGTGTGCTGGAATCTCTGCGGGGTCTGACCAAGCCCTGGCCTGGTGCTTCCGGAGTCATGGGCTCCCTCACGCACTGTCACGTGGCCCGAAGCTCAAGGTGGTTCATACGGCAGTAGGAGTGTCAGTGCAGAGCCCCCTCTCTCAGCGAGGTGCTTGCACGGCAAGAGAAACACCCCAGGGCTCGTCCAGGCCTGGCTGTTGTGTGCTGGAATCTCTGCGGGGTCTGACCAAGCCCTGGCCTGGTGCTTCCGGAGTCATGGGCTCCCTCACGCACTGTCACGTGGCCCGAAGCTCAAGGTGGTTCATACGGCAGTAGGAGTGTCAGTGCAGAGCCCCCTCTCTCAGCGAGGTGCTTGCACGGCAAGAGAAACACCCCAGGGCGCAGGAGGCCGCGGGACCGAGGTGCATCGGTCTGTAGGAAATTCCAGAACCAGCTGGGCCAGCTTTGACCGTGGAGCTCGGTAACCGTCCCCCGGAGCTGGTCCTGCACCCACCTGCCAAGCTCCGGGCAGGCGCCACCACAGTGAAGGTGCAGCGAGCAAGCACCCCTCCGCCCTGGCGCTGGGCCAGAGCAGAGAGCTACTGCTGCTCCCTTATCTCTCCACTGCCGGCAGCACCTGGGCCCCAGGGCGCACCCGGGCTGTGCCAGCGAGCCCTGCCTTAGGGCGGCACCGTTTCTGCTCTGTGCACGGCGGGGTCCCGCTCCAGCGAGGAATAGCGGATGGGCGAGCTGTGGGAGCACAGTGTGGAGTCCCGTTTCCAGGGGCGGGGGACGCCGCTGGGCCGCTTTGAAACGCTGGCTGAGCAGAGCTTTGAGCGCTTCCCTGCCACATCCAGCTGCTCCTGGGCTCCCAGCCGGCGGTGAATCTCCGCCCTGCCTGTTTCTCTGACTCCGTTCCGGGCCAGATTCGAAGGCTGGGCAGGGGGGAGGGAGAAGCATTTTCCAAACTGTTGGGAGCTGCAAATCTGTCTTGCAATTGGCCAGGAGCCGGGGTTCAGCTGGGCTGCTCCAGCCCCTTTCAAGCGTGAAGGGAAGGGCCGTGCTTGGGGAGAAACGGTCCTGCTCTCGCTGAGGGAGCAGGGGGCCCTGTGCGCTGCATGAGACTGTTTGGCCGCTGCTCTCGGGTGGGCGGTGGGGCTGCCCCCCCGGCTTGACGGGGTTCCCCTTGTACGCAGGGTTTCTAGCTGAGTTCCGGGGCTCGCCCTGCCCCGCTGTCCACGCTGTGCTGGCCCCTGCTCTGTGGCAGCCGAGCAGCTGTGACCACTGGGGGCTGGGCTCCTTGGCAGCTGCTCGAAAGCGGCTGCTGCTCTTTTCAGGCAGCGGAGCCTGGGCCTGAGCATGGCCACAAACCAGCCATGCGATAGTTAAATCCCCCCCCGCGTCGTGATTTGAATCTGGACCAGCGCTGGAGGCCGGAGCAGAGTTGATCCGTGCGGGTGGTCCCCCAGGTGTAAGGCGGCTCCGCGCCGCAGGGGAAAGAGGCATGTTAGACGCAGGCTCC